TCAAAGCAATGAAAGTACGAAATGTTTTTTATTTACACTCATTTTATCTATAATTAAATTATTATTTTGAATGTTTTGATTCAATACAAGTAATAATTTGTAAATATGTTATGAAATGCAAAGTGGTGTGAATGATGGAGTAATTCTTAGAGTAACTGATTATACATTTTATGTATTTATGTACTCTTTATATATTTCTATTGATTTCCCTCTTTTTGTATTTTCAACTGACAGTCAATTAGTGTTTGAATAATGAGTTGTGAATTGGATTACATAAGTAAATGAAGAGTGAAACCATTTATTGATTACTCGCTTCAATACCTATAAATTAGTGTCAATCGAGTGTCAAATCCTGCGCTCGCTTTGCATTAAATTTTTCGACAAATTCAGACAATTTAGTCCTTAGTCTTGAGTTTGTTTCATACGAATTAAAATGTATTTAATTGTAAATTAATTGTTTAATTGTTATATAAAATGTAGAAAATGTTAATTTGTTTTAATGTAAAAAACTTATTTCATTTGGAATAAATATTGAAAATTAAATTCACTTGTTATTGTTAAATACTGTATATTACTGTACTGTATATCAAACATTGGCAATCATGAGGCAATCTCTGTTTTTATCAGACTATATGAGTCTCTGGCGATCATTATGTAAGATTAGAAAAACTAGTTTGACTAACAACAGGAACAGTTTAAAGTTTTTTGAGTTTTATTATGGGATTTCATTTATAGGATCAATTGGAAACATCAGTCAATATCCAAGTGTTTAATCATTTGATGAGTTAAGGGAATAAAAGTTTTGAACAATTTGTTTGGATGTGAATGTGTTGTTTAAGTTGTTTAGTGTATGTAATTGAATGAACATTCAAATAAATTGAGAGTTGTTTAGAGACAAGTGTTTCGAGGACCCAATGAGTGTCAATGAGTACCTAATGTGTACTTCAATACCATTCACTCACAAGTCAGTAGTGAATAGATAGCAAATACCGTGGAAAACAACATTGAATGGCATTGAATGACATGTTGTGTGACGTTCAGAGCAATTCTCAATAGGATTTCACAAACTTTTTGATGAATAGAAAGTTGTGTCGAAACTCATGTCTCGTTGAAAGAGAAACAAAACTTTTGGTTCAAAGCATTCACGCATTAAATGCATTATTATTTGCAATTTGTGTCAATAAATCATATGATTGAGTGTTAGTATTAGTTACAAGTGATGGCATTTTGCGGTAAACTTTGTTGGAGAAGAAGTTATTTAAATATTTTCAATTCACGCAAACTCTTGGTTCCGAAGAGTGTCACCTCCAGTCGAAACCTCTTCCAAGTTAACCATCGAAGACATGACAGGAGACCAGATGTGACACACATTGACAAGAGTTGGTTGCACTTGAGTTACAGTGAGTTTGTCTTCACATTTCATTTGCATGTGTTGTACCACTCATTGTGTGTTTGACTATCTGTTAGACCGATTGGCACCAGAAGTGGTTCCCTTCCTCTTGTCAGACATCGGTGAAGGTATCGGTGAAGTGACTGTCAAGGAGTGGTACGTCAAGGTTGGCGATAATGTCCGTCAATTTGATAGCATATGCGAAGTGCAGAGCGATAAGGCGTCCGTCACTATCACCAGTCGATACGATGGTGTCATTCGGCACATCCATTACGAAATCGATGGCNGATGGTGTCATTCGGCACATCCATTACGAAATCGATGGCATCGCCAAAGTTGGCAAACCTTTGGTTGACATTGAGATCGTCTCCACTAATGGTTCCAATTGTTCCACTCTTTTATTTGGGTTTAAATGTAGTTTTTAAGAGTTTATTCATTGATAAATAGAGGAACAAATGGACGCCGTTTTGGACGAAGAATCGGACAAATCGTCAAACATTTCGCTGTCGGCCACAGACGACAATAAATCCTTTGAGTCGACCGCCAAAGTGCTGACCACTCCTGCCGTCAGAAGTATGTATTCATTTGATTAGAGTCTCAGGACTTAACACTCAATTGTAGCCATCATTTACTTAATAACATCTCTATTATTGTATTCATTAATCATTTGACAGGACTTGCAAACGAACACAACATTAGACTCACAGACATATCGGGCACCGGAAGAGACGGAAGGATTCTCAAAGAGGATGTCTTGACTTACATCGAGAACAGCAGCAAAACAAGTGTTGTGTCCACAGATAAAAGTGTTGCCAAACCCGTTGACGCCGATTCAGACAAATCCAAAACTCAACCGAAACCGACATTTAAAGTGAGGGAAGAAGCGTCGACTGTGAGCGACAAAACGGAACCGATTAAAGGCATTAAGAAAGCGATGACTAAGAC